AAAATTAATCCCTCTTGAAGTTACTTATGAAGCCATCAACGCTTAACCATCGGTTCGTTGATCGTTTCTAGTTGTAATTAATATATGAAACAAAACTAGTTGATCCTTTAAATAATGTTCAAAATATTAATATGAAATGTGAATAGGGATTAATTAATATTCAAGGTAGAATATTAAAGAAAATGAATCCCACTATAGTTAATAACTTAATATCAAGATGTTAACTAATTGTCATCTTAGTAACACTCCCCAATATTAACATAGAGGAAGGAATAGCTATTACCTCTGTTCTAAAAATTGTTATAGGCGCCCGACTAGTCCCCGCCTAGGCGCTAGGCGGTGGTCGGTTAAGCTAGATATGGCAAAGGCCTATAATAGGGTGACATGGAATTTCTTAGATGCTATACTTGATCAGTTCGGGTTTTCTACATATGTCAGGAAGCTCATCATGGGAAATCTTAGGGCTACTTTTATTTGAATTGTTACTAATATAATGGAGCAATCTAGAAGTTGGATAAGAAATACTTTCATATCCTTCAATCCAATTCAAAAGAAAATTCCCTTCAGTGCTTCAACAACTTTGAAATCATCAATTTCACATCTACCTCGAAGAACGTTGGAGAAAATCTTTTAAATCTTTCAAATAACACTTCTTGTTTAAGAAGGAAGCCTTAAAATAACTGGAGTGAAGCTAGGAAGAACATACCGGGTGACAAGAACTAGACTTGAAGAAGACGTGAAGTGTTTCTTAAGTGCTAGGAACTAAGTGTTGTAACTTGATCTTTTACAAACTTAGTGGAAGAATGGACTAGAGGAACGAGTTATTCCTTGAATCACTATAAAATCCATGTTGTCATTTACTTACTGCTTTTAATATTTGCACCTAGGCTCTAATTGTTCTCCTCAAAAGGGCTTGGACTTTGTGTTCAGCAAATCTTGCCTTAGAGAAAACAATAAGGCGAAACTGCCTTAAGTTTGTGTGTAAGGATACCCGACCAGAATAATTATCCGCTGCCGATCAGTTCTGCCAAAGAACTTAACCTACTTTGTGAGACAAACTCTGACTCATAAGAATTTGAAAAACCTGAACAGTTTAATCACCCCCTCCCCCTCTAGACTGCTTCTTGTACAACCGGGACCAACACAGCTGATGAAGCCTAAATATGGCAGAAGGATATTGGGGGAGATCAAACCAACTGATTTTCCTTCGTGGAGAAGAATCTACCAAGTCCGTGAGGTGGTAGATCAGATGGTTATCAGAAGCCCTACATCTATACAATGGGAAAATTTAATTAAAAATCTGCGTATTTAGCACTTTGGACACAGAGGGGTAGAGCACTATCTACTACTAATATCTAGCATCAAAATCAGGTGCCAACGGTCAAGGTCTTTTTGTGGATATTGTGGCACAAGAGTCTACCATTTTTGGAACAATTGGTTGTTTTGCAAATGTGTAACCCTCCTGGTACCCTTTATGCAAAAGGGCAAATGCTGATTAGAATCATGTACTGCTCCCTCTCCCTATAGCATGAACGATCTTGGATTATTTTAGTACATTCTGTTGAAAGGGGAAGCAAGGTTAACGACATTAAGCTGGAATTGATGAATGGTGGATAACTTGTGTGGCAAAGCTTTGGATGATATCTATATAACAATTTTGTCTGGATTTATTACATGGCACATGTGGAAGAGTTACTGGGAAGCAACTTGGAATGAAGTGGTACCATACACGGAAAAAATAAAAAGTCTAATATGTAAATTCATGATGACCCGGTGCTTTGCAAATGACAATTATCGTCTCAGTAAAAACTTATTTGACCCCTTTTATGCAACCTCGAGTACAAATTTGACTCCTACCTCGTTTAATGTTTGATAGGAGTCAGAAGCATATGTATTGACCAAATTACCCTTATTGAAATATTAGGTATTAGATAGTATTGAAAAAGTTTTCAAACCCGGGTACGTAACTACTGTCTACTGATGCATCAACCAAGGTTGCTACCATCCTACGCCGCTGCTGCCCTTCCATAGCGTCGCAGCCGCCGCTACCACAATCTAGTGTCTCCACCATCACCACCATCACAGTTGCACTTCGTAGATCTATGATAACACCCTCCTTATTCGATCTCCTCCGATGGCGACCTCCTCTGTTGACGATCTTCTCTATCAATCTTCGTCGATGACAACCTTCTCTATTGATCTTCTTCTCCGATAAGGCCGCCTCCACGCCGCGATGTCTTCTGGCACCACCACTGTCTCATCCGGAAGGATTGCTACTAACGTGTGACCTGGAGAGACTCTGAGAGAGTGGTACAATAAGTGTCATTTTAGCACTGATATGCCATTTTAATGGCATTCATGTAAATTTGACATCTCTGTAATAACAATTTCATATTGGAAAATACGAAAATCAAGCCATTTTTGCCGACTTAGTGCCATAAATGACAATATTTGAAGATATGTCATTCTCACGGTGAAACGTGACACTAAAGTTGATGTATTTTAGATAGACTGATATTGCCATCTTGAAACAACATTATTTTTCAAATTCACATTTATCAGATTGCAAAAGCTCAGATTTTTTTTTTACATTTTAAAAAACAAATAAATTGAAATGAACAAAAAAATTAGATCCAAAATTATGAGATAACCAATCACTGAAGCCTCTCAATTTTCGAATCCCGGCCCAAAATTCAGATCTTGAATAGCAATTTTCATTTTAAATCTCAAAATTGAACAAATAAAATAAACAAAATTTTCAAAATATCTAAGAGATGGATAAAACAGAGTAAGAGGGCAACGAGAATGAGGAGTAGAAAGAAGAAGAATAAGAAGACGGAAAGGAAGAAGAAAAAGAAGAAGATTACGAGCCTATTTGGTAGCAAGAAAATCGACTGTTTTAGCTGATTCTGCTGAAATTTATGAAGTTCTGGCTGAAGTGGCTGCATTGGCTGATTCTCCTGATATAAGAAAAAAAAAATTAAAATATATTTTATTAATAAAATAAAGAAAAAATTATATGTAGAAATAGCTAAAATGGTCATCTACAGTAACTTCAGCCAATACAGGCAGAAAAGTAACTATAACCTTACTTTTTCTGCTTATTACACAATTCAGTGCGCGAAAGCAAAATTTACGTGTTTGATAAAAAGGTTGGTTGATAAGCCGAAAATGATGGTTGCCAAACGGCCTCTACATATGACAATCGCCGTCCGCGAGTGCGCGGTGGCTAAGTTGGGAAGAAAAAATGAAACCTAGACTTCATGGGAGTAGAGATGGCAATTGTGACCGATCCGATGGATACCCGCACCGAACCGCCCCGGTCAAAATGGGGAAAACCACATTGACCGGGTAATGGGTACGGGGCGGCGAATACCCGTTTTGTTTTTCCAGGTAATGGGGCGGTTACGGTTTTATGCATGCCCGCCCCATAACCCGCCCCGTTTATTTTTAGTTATATTTTTATTACATTGTTATCTATTATTTGTCCCACAACTAATAAAAGATGAGATTTTTAATATTCATTGTGTATATATGGATAATAGATGTACTAACTATAATGTAAGAATGAAAGTTCTCAATAGAACTTAATAGCCTTGTTTGATTATTATATGATTTTTCGCGATTAATTATTTTTCAGATTAAGTATTTTTAGGTTCAAATTAATTTAGGTTGTCTTCTTTTCTCGTCTTATAGATGTATGAAGCTTTAAGGTGGCATCTGAGTCTAGCGTCGTCTAGGTGATGCCATTTTTCGCCTTTTAAAATATTATGTTTTTATTAAAATGTCAATGACTCATTTAATAAAGTGATTACCCGCGATTACCCGCGGTTATACCCGTTACCCGTTGGGGCGGTTATGGTTTGGGTAAAAATTACTCGTTGGGTAATGGGGCAGTTATGGGGCGGGGGAATTACCAAACGGGGCGGGTACGGTTATATGTAAAACCGTCCTCAATCCGCCCCGTTGCCATCCCTACATGAGAGAGGAAGATACAAGAGCGCGCGGGGGGATGAGATAGGAGAGAGACGAGAAAAGAAAGGGAGTGAGGGTGCGAGTACGGAAAATAAAAATAAAAAAATAGGGGAGAAGGTATGTAGATCGAGTAGGAATTGGAACTCCATTTTTTGGAATAAAAAACATAAAATCTTATTTTGGAATTACTTCTATGCTTTACTCTCATTCAGAGCAATTACTTTAATTTATTTCTGTTTAAGGGTAATAGGCGATGAAAATAAGGGGAAATTCCTCAAATAGGACTATATGAAACTTTAATTGCAACAATAGGAGTATAATTTCTAAATTCCACAATAGGATTAGCTATCATATTTTACCCATGCTTTGTTTTAATAGAATTCATAGTTCATTAGTAATTAAACATAAAAGTAATAACATAAATTTATTTATAATAAAAACTTATAATAAAAATGTTTTTTTTGAAAGGTATAATAAAAATGTTAAAAAATTACAAAAGACAGAAATAATTATTAAATAAAATTAATGAAACTTAAAAATTAGAAAAATAAAAAAATTATAAAATTAAAGAAACATGAAAAAATAAAACAAAAAATTTAAAAATGTAACAAATAACAAAATAATGCAGGACTCTGTTGCTGCCTCAACAACTTCCCATCACCATCATCTCCAACCATCGAAAAAAGTCGACATGTGTCAGTACGTAATGCCATCTTGATATTAATTTTCGAGAAAATCATGTCACTTTCACAGAGTAAAAATATCATCTTCATGGAGATAAAAATGATACTCCGTAGTTTTTACACAAGATTGCATTTTTTTCACTGCTCGAGTTGGCATTGCTAAGACGTGGGCAAGGCTGTGGGAAAGGTCACCATATTTTTTTACTGTGTTTTATCTTTTCTTTAACAATATTTTTGAATTTTATATATTCAAAAATTATAAATTAAAATATTTTGTTTTTATTCTAAATAAAAATATGATTATCTTATTAATTTTTGGTAAGTGTAGAATATGAAAATACTCGGTAGAATAGATTTCAATCCTATTTTAGGGGATTACATTAATCTTATTTAGTGCTACTTTCCCTCAAAATAATTGAGCATTGAGAAGTAAACTATTCAATCGATCCGAGACAAAATTCCAGCTCTACGCTAGTGACAAAAAGTAGCGCTACTTTACGACCTGGAAACAGCTAATGGGGAGTGTGCTAGTACTTGCTGGTGGTATGTCATACTTCGTATGTGATGTTTCCCGTAGCTTGGTTTATTGCTACACTATTATCCGGCCGGGCCACCATCTGAATCAAACATGGACAAACGACTCATCCAAGTGATGCAAAGTAAGCTGTCGGGATCGCCGAAATTACTGACCAAATCGGCCGGCAGGAGCAAATGCTGCATTTTCCGGGTAACGCAGGGCTTCTTCACCAGCATGGCGGAAGTGGACGAGCGGCCGTATCGGCCTCGCGCAGTTTCAATCGGTCCATACCACCATGGGAAGCCGCAACTGAAGATGATGCAGGAGCACAAGTGGAGGTTCTTGGAGAGAGTGGTAAAGAGGACGATGGAGGAAAAAGGTGTGGGATTAGAGGAGTACGTTAAAGCTGTTAGGGGATTAGAAGAAGAGGCCAGGGAATGCTATTCTGAGGCTATCGATCTCACTGGCGATGAGTTTGTAGAGATGCTGGTTCTCGATGGCTGCTTTGTGGTAGAAATTCTTCGGGCATTCACCCGTGTGGTTCCCTTTGAGGAGGACGATCCATTTCTTACTATGCAATGGATACTAGTTAGTCTCCGCGACGACATCCTCTGCCTCGAGAACCAAATACCTTTTTTCGTGCTCCAGACATTGTTCACTCTTACTGAAACGGGCAGTGATAGGGTGGGCAGTTCTTTGGCCAGCACGGCCCTCATGTTCTTCAACGCCCCAGTTGAAGTGGCAGGGCACCCGGAGGTGATCATGGGGCATCTCGGGACCGATTTCGAAGTCCTACATCTACTTAATTTACACCGGAGAAGTTATTTCCCGGTGTGTCCCGACAGGCCGAGGGCACCCTCGGGATCACGTTTGAACTGTTTCCCGAGGAGCTGCAGGCCTAAAGTAACGCGCAACATCCAGAGCATCTCGAAGCTGCGTCGTGCGGGCATCAAGCTGAAGTTGAAGCAAGATGAGAGGAGTTTCATGCGGGTGAATTTCGAGCGGGGAGTGATCCGGATGCCCCTGCTTGCCCTGGAGGACACGATGTGCGCGTTCTTGCTGAACTGTGTGGCGTTCGAGCAGTGCCACCAGGGGGGAGACAAGCTCGTGTCAGACTACGCGTGTTTTCTGGTCTGCCTCATAGAAAGCCAAGAGGACGTGGACATTCTATGTGAGGCCAAGGTGTTGCACAACCATTTGGCGACGGCAGGTGATGCTGCCGCCTTTGTGGGCAAGCTCAGCATGGGGGCGGTGGCCGCTGTCGATGATAGCTACTTGAGGGTAGTCTGTGATGGCGTGAACCACCGCTACGACAACAATTTGCACATTTATTGGGCCGAGGTCATGCACCAATACTTCAGCTCCCCTTGGTCCCTCATGTCTCTCTTGGCTGCCATTTTTCTCCTCTTCCTCACCCTCGTCCAGACCATTTTCACCGTTTGGGATTTTGAAAAAGAATCGTAGACAAACTTTATTTCCATTGAGCATAAAACTCCCAAAATGGATGCTAGAAGTAGTTACTCCTTCCCTCCCGTTATGATTGTCTCATTTTACTATTTCGGTCCGTCCTACTAAGAATGTTCTATACCTTATTTGGTAAAGTTTGTATGGTTCTAAATTATTCATACTTTATTCTTATATTATCAATTCAATATCAACCACATAAACTCACTTTTATTAATAATTGTGTCAGCTTCTCTTGTCCCAAATTTAAGGAGACCCAGGTAGTATTACAAATTAAAGGATAATTCAACCTTTAATTTAATTGTAATGAAATGTAATTTGTGTAATTCAACCTTTAATATTGTAATTAAAGGATAATTCAACCTTTACAGTATTTCATTATATGTGCGCAGAATGTGCAGTATGTTTCAAGAATTTATTTGAATGTCTTCCCGATCGAATTTTGAGCTGAAATTTAGTATGGATAAACTAGACTCAATGAGGAACATGCTCAAAAAATTTCATCAAAAAATTCCACTGGGAAGGACCTCAAACATAAAGTTTGGACGGAGCTCCCCGTCCCTCCGGATGGACTTGAGCATTCCTCTCTCTCTCTCTCTATATATATATATATATATATATATATATATATATATGTGTATATATATATATATATGTATATATATATGTATATATATGTATATATATATATATGTATATATATATATATATATAGGGGTGAGATCTCATACTAACTAGTTCTCCCATGCTAACTCGTGAAAACTCCGACAACCGGTGGTTTTTTTGGCTCAAAGTTTTTGTGTATGTTACTCATCAAGTCTAGTTCATATATACCAAATTTGAGCACAAAATTCAATCGGGAAGGTCATCAAATGATTTTTGAAAGAAAATTGGTCCGGAAAATACATATAAAATGCAGTTTTCTTTCAAAAATCATTTGATGACCTTCCCGATTGAATTTTTTGCTCAAATTTGGTATATATGAACTAGACTTGATGAGGAACATACACAAAAACTTTGAGCCAAAAATACCACCGGTTGTTGGAGTTTTCACGAGTTTGCATTTTAAGCATGGTTTGCATTTGATCTCTTACCTATATATAGGCTGTTCCTGTACATATGGATGTACAGGAAGCTCCGTACGGACAAAGCCATCCGAGGCCCTTCCCGGTCGAATTTTTTGATGAAATTTTTTGAGCATGTTCTTCATCAAGTCTAGTTTATCCATACCAAATTTCAGCTCAAAATTCGATCGGGAAAGCAGTCAAATAAATTCTTGAAATATACTGCACATTATATGTGCGCAGAATGCGCCATATATTTCAAGAATTTATTTGACTGCCTTCCCGATCGAATTTTGAGCTGAAATTTGGTATGGATAAACTAGACTTGATGAAGAACATGCTCAAAAAATTTCATCAAAAAATTCCACCCGGAAGGGCCTCTAATGGCTTTGTCCGTACGGAGCCCCCCGTACATCCATATGTACATGATCATTCCTATATATATATATATATATATATATATATATATATAGAGAGAGAGAGAGAGAGAGAGAGAGAGAGAGAGAAGGAAAAATGGAAACTAATAATCCAACCTTTTAGCAGTGTTCTTTTAATAATCCGACCTTTTCGTTATTCATGAATAATCCAACCTTTGCACCTCATCTTCATTCATTGGTCCCCGATCAGTTGATGACCTGCTATTCCGAGTTATTTTCTCATCTCTGCAAACTATTATACCATAAATTCCACCTTTCACAAAGATAATATTTTGCAAAGATAAGAAAATAACTTGGAATAGCAGGTCATCAACCGGTCAGAGACCAGTGAATGAAGATGAGGTGAAAAAGTTGGATTATTCATGAATAAGGAAAAGGTGGGACTATTAAAAGAAGACCGCTAAAAGGTTGGATTATTAGTTTCCATTTTCCCTATAGAGAATGAATCTGGTGAGAAGCTCCTTTAAACTGAAAAATGAGAACTGATTGGAGTCGTCCGATCAGGAAAAATCTTACGGCTATCCAATGCTCTTAATTAAATACGGAGTTCATTCATCCCCTTTACCAAGAGGATCTCTCTCCTTTCTCTGCTCATCGACTCCTCTTTCTATGCTCCAATTACATTTCTTTTGCTTTGATAAACTCTAAAAGAAGAAGAGATTGTTGGCTAATCGCCGCAAGCTTGTTCCTACGATGATTAAGAAGATCGCTGAATTCACTTCTGTTTTTGCTATCTCTTTGCTCGAGATCTAAATCAAAGACGGAGTATTTTCTAACTACTTGGAGCTACTTTGTCAATCATACACACAACTTCCAAATAGGTCGTGTTCTTCACTTTTCCCATGCTCCATAACCTGCCTGCACAGAGAGGTATAGATGTATAGTAATTATTCAAGCTTGTTTGTGCGGAAAGATCAATTTTGATTACTCGTCATAGAAATCCGGCAAATATAATGTACCGCTCTAGCGCGATTTATCAAATCTAGAAGGTGAGCTTCAAATTATTCAATTTTACATAATTTGTAAATCTCAAAACCCTAAAACTCTAATAAGTACTACCTCGAACTTGTCTTTATATCTTGTGGTTTTAGTTTAGAAGCACACAGTTAATGATTTATGATTGTGATGAATTGCTACAGGCCATCCTTTTGGGCATAAGCAATGCCTCCGTTTTTGAAACTTTCTAATTGATTAAAATAATGACTCTTATTTTAGTTTACATATTCTTCTTTTCCCTTGGAACTCAGTAGTTTAATATGTTGTTGTTGCTCTTAATTCTGATCTTGGTAATTTTGCTGAAGTTATTTCCCGAATCCATGGATTGAAAAATAAAAGCTATTGATTTCAATTTAGAGGTTAAGCTTAATTAGCTAATAGTTATGTTGACGAGACTTTTAAGAATCACTATGAGGTGCACTTATTGTTTTTGCTGCTGATTGTTCCCAAGGTATTTTAGACACATAGTTGCAGACTTACAGAATGATAAAACAGAAAGTAGAAGTTATAGTTTTATGTTAGAAGTTAAGCTTGCTTAACTAGTAGTTACAATGATGAGTGTAGTTAAAAGTCGTGTTTTGCACTTATGATAGGACAGATTCATAACTCAGTGATCGTATTGTTTATTTTGGTTTAAATTGATTTATGCTACATAAATATTTTAAAGATTTGGATTTGATTAGTTTTTGTTAAGGTAGAAGTTATAGGTTTTACTTTAGAAGTTATAGGTTTTGTTATAGAAGTGGCTTGCTTTATTTATCAGTCTTGCTTTGTTTTCATTTAAAGTGGCTCTCTATAAGTTTTGATTTACTTTTTAGAAGTTATTATTTTGGTTCTATCAGTACGTGTTGCTTTTATGTATCTATTTTGGAATGACAAAAAATTATAGTTGGAATTCTTATTACTACGTATAGTTATAGTACTAGCTAACTCAAAGTGTGCTTTTAAAAGATATTTTTTAACTTTAACCTTTTTTTAATACAAGGACAACATGAGCCTCTAAATTCTTATTGTTATCATTGTAATCTTATTGTTCTCTAAATTCTATTTGATTTATAATGAGAATATAAGTTATGACCTTCTTTCTGTATTTTATGATTCTGACTTTATTAGTGTATGTTAACTTGAAAGTGTTTTGGTTATTGCAGAGGTCTTGAGAGTTTAAGCAAAAGTTAAGCCTTTGGGTTTAAAAGTTACATGTTTTGGCTTACAAGTCATAGTAAATTGAGTAAAAGTAATGTTTTCTTCAACATCTCTAAATAGAATTGCAGATTGTAAACACTTGCCATAGCATAATTATTTACTTTAATAGAAATGCAACATCTTCATAGTAAAAGTTACTTATTTTAGCATAAGTTATACAACATTACTGATTTTGATGTTTTCTGATAATGTTAATTAAAGGTTATGTACACATATTACAAAAAGGTTTTGCACTATATTTTATCTTAAATGTTGCAGCATTTTGCTTTAGATCTATTTGTTTTTAAAACGATATGTTACATATCAAACTTTACAACTTATGAGTTTTAATTAGCAACTTTACAACTTTGATAATTAAAATGACAAATAGATCAAAATGGTTAACTTCTAAACACAACGTGATAACTTTTTGGGATGGAAAGTTACAAATTTTTCTTACAGCCTGTTAGCTCAATTGGAAAAGCATCGTGTGACTACACGAAAGATGTGAGTTCGAATCCCACACAGGCTATCTCAATAGTAGATTGATGATTTAAATTTTTCCCAATTTTAATTTCATGCAAATACTCCATTTAGTTTAACTGCAGAATCTAATAGATTATGTGTATGTATTAGTTAGAGTTTGGTCATATTCAGGTTGGGTATAAGATGAAGGACGTTGCAGGACATTGCAGTTGATCTTAATTGAAGAAGAGGTACCGTGCATTATTTTACTTCATAGCCTAATAATCACCTTTCATCTTTCTTGTTTGATGATCCCATGTAATAATATTTATCCTGTTGGTGATATTCTCACCATGATTGCAACAAAATGCACATGAGAGTTTGAATCCATGGATAGCTCGGAAGAGATGCCATATTAAGCAGCTCAGTGTTGTCAATATGAGCTTTATAAGACCATATTCAGTAACACTATTCATTAGTAGTCCCAGATTCAATAGCAGCTGGCTTATAGCCAAAATCAATAGTGTAGGCATCATTTGGTCCATCAATATGAGCTTCGCGGAGAACTGTGGCCTCATGAAGGATAGCAGACCTTGAATTTGAAGTTGGGGGAGAATCTGTCTTCTCAGTCAAAGGGGGCTCTGGCCTCAAAGTATCTTTATTGGCCATATTAAAAACTGGATCTGCTAGGGCTTCATTAGTGATGGCAACGGGGCGGATCGGGGACGGGTATATATAAAACCGAAACCGCCCCGTTGGATAAATGCTTGCCCCAAAACCGCCCCATTACCCATTCGGGTAATTTTTATTTGAACCGTACCCGCCCCAACGGGGAATCGGTTTATCCACGGGTAACCGTTTCCCCAAATGATACCAAATAACTAATTACTTTTGGAAAACAAATAACCAATTTCTAATCCTACTTGTTATTTATATATTCAAAGCACCCTAAAACATACAAAAGTAAATATTTAAGCAATCAAACAGACTGGCCTAAATTCATTAGTACGACATGCACATAATATCTCTTGTAACATAATAAAAAAATAGTAATCCCATAATCCAAATTCCAAAATCAAGTTTAGGCCTATATTTAGTTTTAGGCCTAAAAAAGTACTCGTAGTATACTTTTTAGCATTATTTATATGATACTCCGTATATACGTAGTACTATATAGTATACACAATTTAGCATATATACTTATTATTCTTATATATAAAAAGTTATAATTCATTAATAATGTTACGGATCGGGTAACAGTGCGGGTACCCACACCATTAGTGAACGGGGCGGATAACAGGGCTGATTAGTATAGAACCATAACCGCACCATTAACCATATAAAAAATTTGGGTATTTCCCGCCCCGTACCCATTCATCAGTCAAACCGGTTTTCCCCAGTTTAACCAAATTGGTTCGGTGCGGGTATCCAACGGGTCGGCCGAAATTGCCATCTCTAGGCTTCATAAGCACAAACAGAAAGGTCAACTTCAGTAGGGGGAGGAAGTTCTGTAGTTTCCAAAACTATAAGTGGGTAAACAACTGCAGTTTCATGTATAGGGACCAAAATAGGGACATTAACAGTAATATCATTAATTCTCCATCATAGTAGAAACATGAGTATGGTCACATAAAGTATGATTAACAAGGATATTCTCAGTAGGGTCTGTCTGGGCATCTCATTCACTTTCAAAATCAAAAGCTCGGGCTGCCCGTGCTTCACAGGCATAAACTCCTGTCTAACAAACAGTTGGAATTTCATGTACATGGACTGAAATAGGGGCCCTAATTGTAATAACATTGTTCTCAATCACACTGTTAATATGAGAATCATTACAAGAAGTCATATTATCTGTAGTTAAGTACATAAGTGCACTGTTGGTCTGACCTCTTAAGAATCCTCCAAAAAGCACAATGAAGCACCAATCCGAATTTTCTTCCCGCGTCAAGTTTACCCCTCTAAGCCTGTCTCCTCTCCATTTTTTGTCTCATCAAGTGCCATCTCGTTCCCCCTTGATTCTGTGTTGTCCCAGCTTCCCAGATAAGTCTGCGTTTCTGCTCTCCTGATCGATGATTCTTCATTATGTTTCAGAACCACTTCCTTAGTAAAGCCACTACCCGAGACCGCCGTATCTTCCTTGTCCCCTTGTGCTCTTCCATCATACCCCACATCACACCTTCTTTCTAGTACTAAACCCTCATCATACATAAGCGGGCAGAATTTCTTAGAATGCCTAATAACTCCACAGTCACTAGTAGGAAAAGGAGCTTTTAAGACGCTATATATTGACTTGTAGAGGCGCTAAAAAGCGTCGGAAATACTTTTACCGGCGCTTTTGAAAGCGCTTGCTTTGCTTGTGTCGCTAGACCTTCTCACGGCGCTAATTTTTTGCATCGGTATAACACTCTAAAAGCGTCGCTAAACATGAGGTGCTTTTCAATAACCTACTAAGGTACATATTTAGCGCCGCAAGAGATCCAACTACGCTTTCCAAGCGCCTCCAAATCTATTACCGGACCACCGGTCATTACTTTTTTTTCTCCTGCTTCTTTTACAATAAATCTGTCTCCGTATGAGGTTTAAATAATATACTAAGAAGCTATTACAATTGCAAATGAGTGTATAAGTTGATTAATCTTGTACCAAAATATCAAAAGTGCCCACAAACTGAAAATAACAAGAGTGTTCCTCATTGTCTTAACTCCATAATCCATATCCATTGTATTACATCAATATATCCAAATCAACCCTTAATGTCTATTGTATTACATCAATATATCCAAATCAACCCTTAATCTCTCCAACTTCAGTATTACAGTAAGCCCCTCTATCTTTTACTGAAGCAAAACCTGCAAAAACCAAACAAAAGATGCATTCAGTTTTTGAGATGCATTTGTTGGACACTTTTCAAGTTCTTTGTTTTATTGGTCAATTCTTTCCTTCATTTTTTTTTATAAATATGAGATGCATTCAGTTTCTTGTAAACTTTTCAGTTCTTCGCTCAATGATTTTAAAAGGAATGTGTGACATATGTTGTCTAATGAACTTTAAAAAATTCATACTAAAAACTTATAATAATCATTTGAATAAAAAAGCTAAAAACATATCTTCCTATTTCACAGATTTGAGGTTAAAAGGAAGATTGGAAGAACAAAGAAAATTTCTCTTTTGAAAATTCTAGTGTCCAGTTTTGTAGTAACAACACACACGCACACAATGAAAATGTATGGGTATAAACTTAAGGTGAATGATACAGTACCCTACTACCCAATTGTAATATTCTAATTATTGAAGGGTACCTGAGAGTGCAGTATAAATCTGTACTATCACATTAAAAATTCTTGAACAGATACTCAATTCCCTTTAACAACATCAAAACGGATATACTACTTATAATTAAAGACCACATGAGAAAATGTGAAATTTTTTAAAAATGTTTCTATAGCAGGTTGCAATTAGTGTAAAAAGAAACAAATCAATACCAGTTGTGTTACTTTTGATTAAGGAATCTCAAATGTCATCACTTAATGTGCGGTTGAAGTAGCAACATCACCCTGCATAAAACAGTATCACATTATTTAATTGCAACAATTTTTACAAAGTAGGCAAAATTATAAGATGAAAAAAATACACTGAGTACCTCATTAGTATTCTGAATATCAAACTCTTCTTCTGAATCTGATTTTTCTGAACCATCTGAACTAGAAGTATCAAAATCTGAACCACAACGGACTTTTAGCTTCCTTTTCAACTTCAAAAGACTTGTTCCTTTCCTTTTTAAAAGCTTCCTCATTCTTTGCATTGACCTATTCAGTTTTATGATACTTATTCCTTGCTTTTTGACACGCTTTTCCAGTCTTTGCATTGATTTTTTCAGTTGACGAATATAGTACAAAGTCGTTGTTTCATCACTTGAGGACATGTTCAAGCCATTCCAATATGGTGGGCGTGAGGAGTTTGCAAAATCTGATGGCTTCACACCAAGTCCTAAACCACGAACACGACCATATTGATCTTTACCTAGAATCTTGGAAACGGGATCATCATCTAAGCTCACTTCTTCATCACCTATTTCAGCAGCGATATTCCTAATTTGACTCTACAAAGAATACCGGGTAAAGCATTTAGGAATCAAAGTATAACTTACTTGGCCTGAAAATATATGGACAACTAATATATATATATATATATATAACATTTCAATTGAATTGGATCCAGCTTGGTCCTCATGTATCACCTGTGATAATCCTAATATTAGACATTGTTTTGTTTGAGGGAAATATTCTACATATAGTAATTCTAAACATAACTTTAACTCAAAGATCTATAAAATAGAACTTGAGAAACCCTTAAAAAAGTAGCAAACCACTCTAACAATTGATGGGGTTTGTGAAATCTGATGGCTTCACACCATATTGATGTGTTCAAAAGTAAATCCAAAAGTTCATGAATATATATATAAACACATACATACCGTTATTTCTGCTTCATTTTCATGTTGATGACATTCTAAATAAACCTGAGTTCGTGTTGGGCTCTTGTTTAAGCGTTGTTTCTACATAACAAATAAAATAACTCATCAAAGTATATTAATTAAGAAAAAGGTATACAATAACTCAAAAAACCCTCTAGATGAGATTAAATACCATCTCTTCACGAACACGGGCATGACTTTTAGTACCAGTGGTAGAAATCGGCTTCACCTTAGCTTTCTTATGCGATTCTTTACTTGATTTGCTTCTCTTCTGTAAAATCACATCATCAAAGTGATTAATAAAGTCCAAAAAGTAAAAAAAATGAAGATAAAAAAACTCAAATAGTAGAACGACAATAAAAGTACTCCTAGAAATATCAAACAATGAAATCTCTCTTGAGTGTATATATGGACCCTAATAAATCATTACATGAAAAGAAGTTTCTGCTTTCACATCTCAGAATTAATGGTTTGTTTGGAGACAAAATAAGGTTAGGAGAGTTCAAAATAATCCAAAGTTGCATTTAGACATTTAATAGTATATTTTTGAAGATCATGGCATCTATCAAATCCTCTACTAACTTAAAGTAACATATTTTTTAAACTGAATACCACCTGAAAAAGTGCAGAACTAATTAAATGCAGTCCAATTATAAGAATCTTAAGTTCAGATAAAAATATCACTTAGTAGAACGAGAAGGAAAAACATCTAGTAACTATACCTGTCCTTCATCTGACCTCCAAAAGTTGACAAGGCTAATCCATTGATCCTTTTCTACATCTTCAGGATAGTTATCATGCAATATAGTAATATTTTTAGCATCATCATACCACTTTCCTTTCAAGACGCATTTGTAGTCCCTCCATTTATGTCCAATTGATTTCAGTATCCATTTGTCAAGTGATTTAGGATAAAGAAACCGATCCTACAACACCAACAACTAATGAATGTAGTTTAAAATAAAAAACATATTATAAACTTTCAAAAGATTGAATGAAACCATTAAGAACATATAGGTTACCTGAACTTCTTTTAGTATGATGGCTTGGTTGTTTCGATTATTGCCTTTTTTCAAGTGATCCCATCTTGTAAAACTTAAGGAGCAAAGCGTTCCATTCCTTGCAATTGTCCCACAAAAAGAGCCTAATACACCTCCTTCATCTCCAATGGGTTGGTTCTCTTTATTGACATCAATGACAATACGGTTCCCTTCAGGCAGATTCCACACATCTGCTAGAATGGTCTTTCCACGCCTTCGATTACCATGAGAATCTGCTTCACATATGTGACAGACTAGGGGTTGGTATATGGGCTCTAGATTACTTGCTTATTTATTTTTTATATTTGTTTTTTAAACATGATAACTCATTCCGTGTAGCCTTTTTCATTATTCTAGTTGTCTAATGTTTGTATGTATTGATTTACATTTACATAAATAGTATATATAAAAGGTATTAACAACACATTTATGAGTAAGAAAATGTTAAAATACCTTGTATAGTGCAATCATAGATTCTGCCTTCTGAGTTTCCATCTCTAGATTCATTAAAAGTTCCTGTATTTGAGCTACTAGTACCAGCTTGAACGTGTTGCTTCTTTCTTGTCATACCTCCCTCATTGGTAGTCATTCGCAATTTCTTTTTCTTTCGCTTAGCCATAGCCCTTAAAACAAATTAGATACTAAAGTATGAAGTTATATAAAAGCATCACACAAATCAGTACACAAAAATATACACAATTGCTCAATTAGAAATCCAGAGTAAAGCTTAAGTGATAAATAAAATATGGGTATTCATTAGTGAGACTAGGAAACAAGAGAATATAAAATGTAAGACAATGTTATCATGTAACTAAAGGTACTAAGATTGTTCATTATGAGAAACTACAATTCCTTCCACATCTTTTCTAACACAACTATAATTTCCCTCTTCATTGATGAGCAAGTTATTTAGAAAAGTAATATGATATGGTTCATTTTCCCCATCTTCTCCCATTTCTTCAGCACCTATGTCGTATGCATTCTTTGGCTTCATCTTTATAACAACAAACCAATCTGGATGAGTAAGGTCTTGTATGTAGAAGACTTGCCCAGCTTGTGATGCAAATATGTATGGCTCGTCTTCTATTTTGTCTGCAGTGTGTGTCATACGAGAAAAATTTACAAGTGTAAACCCGTATTCATCTTTCTTCACTCCTCTTCCACTAGTAGAATCTGTCCATTCACATTGGAACAACACAACAGAATATCCTCCTAAGTATTTCAGTTTTATGATATCAACTAGGCGTCCATAATAAGCAACGTCTCCCAGAACTGGATTCATATCACTCGCTTTGGCATAGCTTGATGTCTTTGCAATCACAACAACACCACTATTTTGAGTACACTTGTCATACCGTTTGGCTCTAAATGTAAAGCCATTTACTGTGTACCCTTGATATTGTGTGACAACATCAATTGGACCACGTGCAAGCATTCAAACTTCCTCTTTCAAACTCTCTACACCATTCATTTTCTCTAATTTAGCCACCTATTTAAAATCAATCATGTTAATTACTTATGTAAAAAAACAGTTGAATAACACGAAAATTACTATTTTTATTCTTACATGTTGACTAAACCACTCATGAAATGTCTCATGTTGAATACGTTCGATATCTTTCAAAGTTAAACGCCTTGGACGACATCTTCTTCTAAGCTCTGCTGCATGTTCCCTAAATAAGAAATGTATACATATATGATAGAAGCTAATTGAACAGAAACGTCATTATATTTTACTACTATAAGTTAGGGTACTTACTTTAGAAATCCAGAAATGTCTGGACAGTTGAAGAGAACGTAACGGTGTGCTTGAATCTTACTCATTCGGGTAATGGTGCGTGTACTCGGCTTCCCTATAGGCTTCCCAACTTGTGAAAAGAATGAAAAACCTTCGTCAATATTTTCTATGCCTTAATTTAAGATGTATTGTATTATAATCTGAGTTGCTTGTTATTAAGAAAAACTGTACACTAAAGGCATAAAAAAACAATTAGATCACAATAATTCTAGAGTATATGCTTTCTTTTCCTTCATCCAAAGGCCTCCAAAATGGAGCAACAATCCATTTGTTCTCATCCCAAACTAAAAAATGGCTTTAAAAGGGGAGGCTCACTTTATACTACAATAATACATATTCCCTGGATAAATATGCAGCAGATTTTAAGATGGCGGTAGTTGAACAATTTTTTTTATGCATCTATCAATTACAAAACCTTCCTAATATTATAATATCTAACACATATAGAAACAAATTAAATAAGATGTCAATTGAGTTATTGAACATTCATAAGCTAGATACACTACCACATAAGATATTACACATATCACCAAATTACAAAATATTTATTAGCTAGCCAGAGTGAAGAGGTGTTTATAAATATATTGTGTTTCAGAAGCTTACACATGATGACCAGGATATTATTAATCAAGTTCACGTGTAGCCATTCAAATAGTCAATCGAGATACAAGATTAAACTCCTAATTATTTTGCAGATTCAAGTAACCGATCATTAAACCATGAGAATACATCAATTTCATCACAAAACACATATTGTTTGTCTAAATAAAAGGAATAATCAACTCACCTACTCGCAATCTGGAGAACTCTTTAGGATCGTTGGTTTTGTGAGAGAAGAGTTTGGTGAGAGTTGAGAAGCTTCCACAACGTGGTAGATGCAGAGACGAGGCCGATCGGCGACGAGAGGTGCTACGTTTGATGGATTTGTGGTGAAACGGAAACCTGGAGGTCGGGGGACTCTGCGATCTCCGTCGTTTAGATGAATAGGAATGAGGTCGGCTACGATCTACGAGCTCCAATCTTTTAGGGATTTGCTTTCTTTTTAGGAAAAAAAGAAATTGATGTTTCAATATGATTAGTTATGCCCAATGTAAAAAACCTGCCGCGATGCTTTTTTAGAAGTGCCGTTTCATGGATAAAAATGTTTTTGTTTTGCTGACCAATATAAAGTAATGATGCCACATGTTTTAATAATTTTTTAAGCAATGTTTTAATCATTTAGATGGCCAACTGCAACATTTTGTTTTTAAATAAATAACTAATTTAGTAAGTTCTCTTATTATTTAACCCAATAGTGACTTGAATATTAAAATGCTCTAAGTTAGGAGCTCATTTTAGGGGCGCTTTGTAAAAGCGTGTCTAATATATATATATAAATACAAAGTCAACACTTTTTAAAAAAGCGCCTCTATCTAAGCGCCTCAAAAACCCGTTTTTCTAGTAGTGAGTTAAAGCAAAAATTAGGTAGCTTCTCATACTGAAAATCCACCGAATATCCAACCCCCTCCTTTTTCAAACTTGTGCCTTTTTTAAAAGGAGTTTCCACAATTTTGCAAACTCTAACACGCAGGTAAGCCTTACATTGTTCCCCATATCGATTCTTATCATAGCTAATGAACCTACCCAGAAAATTACCCACCTTTCTAGCACTTCCTAGATTCAATAAGCAGTAGGGAACATTGTGAACCCGCACGCAAAATTATGCCTCATTCAAACAAATCTTATGAGAATATCAGTAGGGTTTATTTCTTTCACAATCAGTAAATTTATCTCAAACTGTCATGGACCCCCATCAATTACCCGTTTCATATCAACAGGATGATTACAATTAAAGATATACCTTTTCTTCTCGATCTCCTTGATCTACGCCTCTTCCCGGCCTCCAAACGACGCCATCATCTCTTTGAAAGCTGAAAAATTGATTTTCTTGTTAGTATCGGCCGAAAAGATAGGGAAAAAGAGAATGAGGGTGATGTTCATTTGTTTATGTATTAAACCATAATTTTTTATAACTCTTATAACTTTTTTATTTTTATCCAATTTTTTTCTTAAAATATATCAAAATTTATGAATTTTTATGATCTTTCAAATGACACCAATGTGCAATATATAATAACGAAAAAAATTGAAGTTTTAATTGTTAGAGTTTTCTTGAGCTCAAAATCACTCGAAACACAAAATTTTAATTCATGTATCTTAAAAAATAACTTAATATTCCATAATCGAACTTTACTTGAACTAGGTTCATTTTTGTTAATCGAAAAATATAAAAAAAATGAATGAATTTTATTAATTTTTACATTGAAATGTGTATTTTTTATTTTGTAATTATTCAGGGGGAATTTAAAGGAAAATATTACTTATAATAATTTAATTAATGTTTTTACTAAATTAATATGTAAACAAAATCGTAGAATGCATTTTATTGACGATAATTTTATGTAAGAAAGAAGAGTCAAAACACTGGTTTGATATGGACAGAATCCATTTTTGAAATAGAAATTACTTAAAATAGGAGTAAAACTATGGCAAAAATTCAAAATAAGACTTGCTATGTTTTTTATTCCAAAATAGAACCATAGTGGTCCTATTGGAAACATACCCATTTCTTCCTTTCATTCTTACACCTCCTTTAAATATTAGTAAAAGATAGCTAAAAGTCATAATTAAATGTTTAATTCATAATAAATTCGAAAAAATTTCAATAATTCGTAGAAAAATAAAAAAAAAATTAATAAAATTTTATAAAATTATAAATAAGAAAAAAAAAATTTAATTTTTTTTGAAAATTAATAAAAAATAGTAAAACTCCATTAAAAATATTAAAAAAAATATGGATATCTTTCCCATCGCCTGGACTACCTCCCTGAACCACCACCTCCGATCGGTGTAAAAAATGCCATTTTTTTTTAAATTCCACAAAAATGGCATATTTCTCTATGAGAATGCCAACATTTTCATTCTGCCAACTTGAATCCTTTTGACTTTTGCCAAAAATATGACATTCATAATTTTTTGGGCATTTTTTTACCCCGGTGACAGGAGGTGATGGTACCGCCTCCCTGCACCACCACCTCTGACCGTTAAAAAAATGTCATATTTCCTAAAAACTTCCATTTTTTTTTTCGGAAAATGCCAAAAATATGGCATATTTCTCTTTGACAATGCCAACATTTTTTCTTCCATCTTAAATCATTCTGAATTATGCCAAAAATATGGAATTCATAATAAATTTGACATTTTTTCCCCAAATGACTAGAGGTGGTGGTGTTGGGGCGGCAGAGGCGGCGGCGACAATTTTTTTTTTTAATTTTTTTAATTTTTTTTTTAAATTTATTATTATTCAAAATATTTTTATTAATTTTTTGGTATATTTTACGAATTTTTATTATTTTTTATTATTTTATTATGAATTAAAACATTCCAATAAGTATAAGGGTATATTTGTCCAAGACACACATAATTAGTCTTATGGAAACATAGTTTATTTTTTTGTCCTATTTGTACAAAGTAAATGACTTTTAATCTTATTTTGATAATTAACTCTTTTTGAAATTTTGGACTCCACACCACTCCAAATGGTGTGGTAAGGGGAAGTGTACTATAGTACTACTATTACGGAGTATGTGGAAACAGCTAAGGGGAAGTGTACTATAGTACTACTATTATGTGATGTTTCATTGTTTCGCTAAGGACCATACCAGCTTGATTATCTTCAAGAATGTCTTCAAGTTTTAGGTCAAATTTTGTATGAATAAACTAGACTTAATGACTAAGATGCTCAAAAAAATTTATCAAAAAATTCCATCGGGAACTG